TTATAAAAATTTAAAAAACGAATACCCATTATTCTTTAGTAAACGGTACCTACATTTTTATTTATTTATAAAGATGGAAATTCACGAAGACTTTGCTCTAAGGGAAAGTGTCTGGTTGTGGTTCGTAAGAACCGGACTATAATATTTGACATTCTTTGCGTAAAAGTTGTCAACTAATGACGACAAGATCAAGTCTGTCAGGTCGATCAGACACCTATGCAGCCACGCACTACTACATATGACAAACTTCTATGTTAGATACAAAAACAAAGTCTCTACCAGTAACAAACAAATTTAGTCATGTGTTTCTGTCTAACTGTAATATATCCTAAATAGCAATATTGCCGAATATTAATTGCATAGAAACTGCATGCATTTCGATAATATTGTGAATTGAAATGCGTCATGCATGATATAGTAATTTAGTAATTGATATGATATATGATAGTAGTAGACAAAAGCACGAGAGTAAGAACAAGACATCATTGAAAACAGAAGGGTCCACTATGAAACAAACGGTTGGATCTATCTATTAATTGCAGTGAGTGAGTGACTAGTCAAGAATTTGACTATCTGACCAATTCTTGACTCTCTGACTCTGCATTTATTCTCATCTCTAAGAATTAAAGTGAGTTTGGAACTAACTTGTTGTTGGTCTGGTCTGGTCTGTAGGACCACAAAATGCAAGCATCCCGTGATTTATTTCTATGTCATTGTTAAGCTTTGTTTGGATATATGCATACAACAAATTAAATACTCCATGCTTATGCTCTCTGAAGAGGTTGTACTTAGCGGTAAGATTATAATTATGGAAATGAAGAGCGGTGGGATATGAATGAGTGAAGCATATGCATTCATGTGGTAGTACTTTGTGTGTAATGGTTGAGCTAATTCCAAGTGTAGTTCAAAAGTGTCACTATCTAACTCTCACTACTCACTACTTATGTCCCTATCTAGTGTGGAGAGTTATGATTTAGAATTCATCTTCAACCAACCCCACCGCACCACCCCTAATCTCAAAGACAAATCAGGACCATTCAATTCTGAAAACATACCATGCATAATAGTAAAAACAAAGATGAGACATGGACTAAGAAATTGCTAATTGGGCCTTATCATACCAGCCGATCTAGTGTTCCATGACCACGAGGCCCAATACTTCAAATATAGATTGTGATAACATAGGTCAATCTATACACTAGGAAGCCATCGACTTCTCCTATGATTAAGGGACGGATTCCACTAACTCATAATCGGGTCAAAACCTTAGAATCATGGTCCTATCTATCGGGATGGGAACTAACCCCTTCCTTCACTTTAGCAATGGCCCAACACACTATAAATTTCTCAACTCATAGAGTTTGAAGAACATTTTCACAAATTTTAAATAATCAATCTCAAAAAAAAACCTTTTGTAATCACACACATGAGGAGGATCAAACACCGTTGTACTTTTTGCTAGTACAAGACCATAAATTCAAGTTGCATATCACATACCTAATTCATAGTAGGTGATGCGGTTAGAGTAATCAAAGTCAGAATTACAATGTAATTATAAATTAAAAGAAAATAGAATACGATTTAACTTATACTGTCAATTAATAAAAAATGTATATCTCGTTAAATTACATTTTTATTTTTAGAATACTAATATACATAACTATGTTAAAATTTATTGAATGTTGGTATAAAATTACATCGACAGTACATTATCTTAAATTTTAAAATTAATTATATGGTAAAATTTCACAAGCCATAATAGTGGACAGCAACAATTGCATCGCACCATATTAAAACATATCATGCTTTATAATACTCTTCAAAATTATTTTTAAAATTTTCTTCTTTTACATCATAAATTTAGAAAGTATTTTAAAAGAATCGAAAAAAAAAAATAATTATAAAATAGATATGATATTTGTAAAAGAAATATGAAATATATAAAATACAAAATAAATAAAATTTTATAATAATAAAAAATTAGGAAATTTCTTAATATACCATATATGTTTCTTAGTCACCACGTGAAAATGCTAATATGATCTCTACTTTTTAAAGATGTATCTTCAGACGCCTATAAGTTAGGTATTTTTAATTCCGGAGATGCATCTCCAGAATATTTCCGTTGATACATTTTTGTAACACCGACATATCAGTACAAGATGCTCCATTTGCGGGAAGCTACCACACTTCGTGTTTCATCTAGTACAAGATGATTATATAAATCATCATAGGTCACATGTACATCTCTATGGACCACAGCGGGAGGAGCAAACACGAAGGGTTCTCGTGGAATACCTTGCATAAATTTAAACTGACGCATGACTCGCTCAGACAGATGTGGATACATCATGTATGTCCTATAATCCAACCATTTAGAATAGAAGGTTGTGTCATCTAAAGAGCGCGTTTGGCGGTGATTGTCGTACGACCAAAAACATATATCATCTGCTACTATGTAATTAAAAATTATTCTAAAGGACTCGATCGACTGAATCCCTCAGCGAGACAAATGCACAAGCATGTGGGTGATCTCTAGTGTAGTCGTCAACATATGACCCGCTGAAGATGTGTGGAAACTGTTGGAAGATCCATGCATGAAAATAGTAGACGTGAAATATTATTAATGGCGTAGCACAAGTGATATGAAAATGGTACAACGACAATAAATGTGCAAATATATTATTGTGAACAACATGCAGTTAATTGTCATTTGTTTAGTCTTCCAAAGACAACTTTCAGCTAACTTTTAGTACATGTAAATCAAGCAAGTGGCTCCCTAGTTGTACTCATAAACGCGCTCTAAGTCAATGAAGTATCAAAGAAAACTCACATTGACATATTTGTCCACAAAGATGGATGTGTCAGTCAAGTACATGAAGTATGACCCCAATTCACATGCTCTATGATGCCTATTGGTGCATCATCATCATCGGCCTACACTGCCTCATTTAGGTAGTCTGTGTACAAATTCTTCAAGAATGCAATCTAGCATGAGCCGCTCAGGTGTCTTCCAGCTCCTTTAGGGTATTTGTTGGGTTATCCCCCAAATAAGTCATCGTCCTTTCCAATGCTTTAGGTATGTCCATCCTGGAGTGGTCTAATAATCTTTCCCTAATCCAAAGATGTAGCATGGATAACACATTATCCACTGTGATGGACATCTCACCATGCAGAAGATGAAAAGTGATGTCTTAGTGTGTCATCTCTTAACGAACGTTGACAACATACATTAGTCATGCATAAATCTCCCAGCCTAGATAGTTGCATGGCATTATAAAACCACTACTCCTCAAACTGGTGTTGCCTCGCAATCTTTGATCATTATTGATGCATTCTAAAGCATCACGTTACTACAAAAGTACATCATCGTCAAAAAGTTTAAATATTATAACACATGTGTTTCAAAGAATAAATGCAGATAAATTTTATCAATGTGATATCTCATATGGACCTCCTCTGAATTCCTCAAAAATGGCAGCAACGACAGCAGGTCCATCAACCTAGACTGTTGGGACTTCCGAAACAGCATCAGGTGACGCATGCCTCTAGAAAAACGAAGCTGAAAACACATGAACCCCAAACGTTGACGCTTTTGCATCAAATGAATTGGCATTGATCTGTGATCGCGAGGGTCGGGCTCTTTCCATGTGAACAGATGCATGCTGAGATACTCTATCATGCCTCAGTCGTTTTTGGTTGTGAGCCATGTAATCTATGATTAAACCAGATAAAATAGAAAAAATCAAACTCAGATAAGACACATTTAAAATCAAATCAAACAATACACACATACAAAATATACAAAATAGGAGAAAAGGCAATGGGACAAAACAAAATGTCCAATATAACAACCTAACAATACTCAGTATAACAATCTAATAAAATGAAAGTGCACTTTTAGATTCTAAAGGCATTTTTTGTTTTTCACAAATGTGAGAAAGTGAAAAATGTAAATGCATTTTTTGTTTTTCACAAGTGTGTGAAAACTGTAATCCTCTCATAAATAATACTAGCACGCAGAATTCTCATACTTATACCGTAAAAAGCCTACATTTTATTTTAGTTTTAAGTTTCTTTTATCAGCCCCTTCAAATTCTCAAAAACTTCTTTTAAATTTTAAAATTAACAAAGATTTTAAGAGAGCCTTAAGGGGTGAGAAAAGAAGTATTACTTACACCGTAAAATATTTGTAATAATAGACATTTTCACATAAATTAAAAATATATATAATAAATGAAAATGAAAATAATAATTTTACTAAATTATATTTACTGACAATTGATATATTTTAATTATCATTAATGCAGGATGGAATAAATAGTAAATTAAAAATAATAATTAGAAATATAATTGGAAGATCAAATCTAAAAATGCATTGGAAACTAAAATCGACACTTATTACAAATGTGATATTTATTTTGAAACGGAAGGAATAGTATTTATTTGTTGGGGTTGTAAGAACTTCAATGTGAACGCTGAATTCTTGGTTATCAGACGGAAAATTTTTATTTTAAAGGATTGTTCCCAAAGTCTCTTGAAAGAATGAATTGCTTATAAGTTCATTAATAGGCCATAAACACAATGAATACTTTACTAATGATAAACCAGTTTTTCTCCTCTATTTAGTAACATTAGTCTCCTCCAAATCATAATGAAAGAGAAGAACCATATAGCAATACATAATAGTGCAGCGACAAGCAAAAATCTATAGAAACTGTCTCTGTACAGATATTCTGTTGTGCTGATCATACACTTGCTTGATTATTTACACATCATAGTTCCTAAGACTGTTTGTCTTGATATCAAATGACACCAGTGTTTATGGTTGACACAGCAGAGCCATTTTCAATAAGTTCAGATATTGGCATAATGTGAAAAAGAAAAAAGCAACCAGCAAACAAGTGAAGGGTTTCAAGTAAATAATTAATGCATCCATGCCAACAACAAAAAAAAGCATCTTTTAACATCGGATTATTAAAACCTATTCACCTGTCAAACTAAATTCTCTTACAAGAATTTCGATTTGATAAACTTCGCCTCTCATTTTCAGATAATTTTTGCCTCAGGTTCCTCAGAGCATCCACTACTTCTGTACTAAGACTGTGCTTCAACAATGAACCTTTTAAAAAACTTCTGTATATAACAACGTTAAAAGCAAATCAGTCAGCAAGATCTGCTAATATAATTGAACAATTAGTATTAACAATATCAATTGACAAGTTGATTCTTTCAAGTGCATAAATGTATTGCCCTGTATTGAAAAATATCAGACTTTAAATTTTTTTTTTATTTGAGGGGGTAGGGTACTTCTAATGGTTGAGATTGTGTGGTCTTATCCTTACATGATCCCATCAGTTCATGTTATTGAGATGGGCAAATAGTTAAGATGCTTGAGAAATCCCTAAGCACAGTCAATCACCCACACAAGATTTACAACTTAATACTGGAAACTACATGAACAAGGACACTAATTATGATAGCTAAAAAAAGTAGTACGCCTTAAGTTGTCAATCACTAGAAATCAGAAACTCAATCGAATTCCCAAGAAAACATTTTTCGTGATAAAGTGAAGTAGCAGTTTCATTCATATGAAGCTCGCGAGTCACCATTGCCATAACATGGTATTCAACCTGCACACTAGACCGAAAAACCACATTACACTTCTTATTTTTCCAATATACAAGGTGTTAGAAAATATTTTATTTTCATATTTAATTGTTTACGTTTATTGTCATTTATTTTCTTTTATTCTCCATTAAAGAGAATTAAGTATTTTTATTGTATTCTCATTATATAAACCAGCCTTTGGCTGAAGAATAAAATTACAACAGCTTTTATCTATTTCTTCCAATCCAAGGTTTGCTCCAATAAAAGTACAAACTTGAAGTAGCTCACTTGTTAATAAGTGAACAAGCCCATTCTGCACCAGAATATCCCAAAATGTATTTCCATTGACTTCACACAAGAACCCTTCAACCAAGTCCAACTGCCCAACTAGTCTATTGTATCGACCAATTTCCCTTAAATGTTCACATCCATATGAGAGTCCAGTTTTTCAATTGATTCTGCTAGTTTTTTCCAATATATTCAAGTAATTTTTTTGCGAAATAACATGCCATTTTCTGAATAAGCCATCTCAAGACCAGGGAAGTGTTTTTAGCTATCCCCAATTCTATGGTTTGAAAAATGACTGAAAAGATGTTTCTTCAATAGAGATATCCCCTCACATCATTACCTATAATAACTACACCATTCAAATAAACTACCTGATAAATTCATCTTCTAATTGAAGAATGTCAATACAAAACACTGAACGAACAGCTTTGCTCCAAGAGTTCAAGTCACTCCAAATTATTGCATAATAATACCGAGTTCAAGGAAATTGATTAAACCATAAAGAGGTCGCTACAACTTACATACTAAACCAAACCTTAATCCCCTTATTGAGTTACATAACTCTTGTATCATATAATTGTTTTGACAGTTATGGTAGTTGGTAGTTAGTTTGTTATTATTTTATCGGTTACTTGCACTGCAAGTTACACCTTGCATATAAACAACATACCAATGCATATAGAGCTAAGCTCATTATGTTCATTTCACAACACTTCACAATTCTTATTATGGTATCTGCAGTGTGAGTAATTTGAAGTAGTGTGAGTAATTTGAAGAACCATCTTCTTCCTTTCACCGCTTCCCATACAATTTATCTTGAGCTTCATTCACATCTTTCCTTATGGACGCTCATGATCATGAGGATTAAGCCACAACCTACAACAACACAACATAACAAACCAACAATCAAACAACCAAGAACTAGACCCTTGATCAATCCAGTCCCTATTACCTTCATCCTGCTGAAAATCCGGGTGCACTTCTTGTTTCTCCTCCATTATTTAAAACTAATTATGAATCTTGGAGTCGATCAATGAAACGCACACTCTTAAGCAAAAACAAGATCAAATTCATCAATGGCAAACTCACAGCTCCACCAGAAAATGATGCTCTCTATGCAACAACATCGTTCTTGCATGGATTTCAGCATCATTATCTTCCCATACAATTCATCTTCAACCTCATTCACATCTTTCCTTATGGATGCTCATGATCATAAGGATTCATCCACAACCAACAACAACAACAACACAACACAACATATCAGCAACCAAACAACCAAGAACCCGACTCTTGATCAATTCAGTCCCTATTACCTTCATCCCGCTGAAAATTCTAGTGTAGTTCTTGTTTCTCCTCCATTATCGGAAAACAATTATGAATCTTGGAGTTGATCAATGAAACGTGCGCTCTTGAGCAAAAACAAGATTAAATTCATCGATGGCAAACTCATAGCTCCACCAGAAGATGATGCTCTCTTCGATACTTGGAAAAGATACAACAACATCGTTCTTGCATGGATTTCAGCATCATTATCTCCTAATATTGCTCATAGCACCATCTATGTCGATAATGCTGCTCAACTCTGGATAGATGTTCACAATCGTGTTTTCAAGAGCGATCATTTTCAATTATCTGATCTTCTTCAGCAAATTCATTCTATGAGACAAGGTAAGAAATCTGTGATTGCCTACTTCAATGAGTTAAAAATTCTTTGGGAAGATCTTGAAACTCAAAATTCTTCCTAACTGCACTTGTGGTGCACACCTCACCATCAAAAAGCATCGTGACATAGAATATGTCATTTATTTTCTAAAGGGATCGAATGACAATTTCAAACAATGTTAAATCTCAAATCCTCATGGTGGAACCCCTCCCTGATTTTACGAAGGTTTTCTCTTCAATCTTACAACAAGAACGAAGGTTAACCTCCCCTTCTCCTTCTAAAAACTCAAAGATTCTCCTGGCCTCAGACACACAGTTCTTCCCCTAATGCAAGATTTCAACCTAGGCAAGTCAAAGGTCGTGGCAAACCAAACTTCCAAGGCAGAGAGGTTCAAATAATTCCAAAGTTTGTTCATTTTGTGGCAAGACTGGGCACATTCTTGATACCTGCTATTTCAAACATGGTTTTCCACCGGGTTTTAGGTTCAAAGACAATGTAGGTTTTTCCAACAATGTTGATACCTCAAATGAGCATCATCATTCATCATCCACTAATATTGATTACCAAGATAACAAAGTTGAAATCAGCCCTGATATGTACATCAAACTGGTAGGCATTGCTCAGCAAAACTGATGAGTCAAACACTTATGGTTCTCGTGTCATTCATGCCTCACCATCAGGTTTGCATCACTCTTTCATCCACACTAATATTAGTAAGTTCATTAACCAACAGTTGGATCATGTGCAACATATCACATTTGTTCTTCCCTCGATCTCTTTTACTCATACCACTCTATTAGTCCTATTACAATAAAATTACCTAATGGCTATCACATCTTATCTAAAATGTTTGGCACTGTTAGATTGAATCAAAACTTAACTCTCTACAATGTTCTATTTGTCCCTGAATTTACCTACAATTTGATTTCTACTTCTCAACTATCATCTTACAACAGATGTAATCTTATATTTGATCATTGTTATTGTACCATTCACGAACAACCATCATTGAGGATGATTGGGCTTGCTAAAGTTCACAATCACTTGTACATTCTTAATCAGGATTCTTGCATTCCCTTTTCATATCACACTTATGTATCTTTTACAAATTGTACTCACAACGATTTTAGTAAATTTAGTTTTTGGCATCATAGACTTGGCCACCCTTTACACAATGTAATAAAAACAATTTAACAAAGTTTTTCTCATATTCATGCTTATTGTGATTATATTTGTGATTATTGTCATTATGTTAAACAAATCAAGTTTTCTTTTCCTTTATGCACATTCAAATCTACATCAGCCTTTGAACTGATTCACATGGATATATGGGGGGCATTCACACCCTCATCTATCCATGGTCACTCTTATTTCTTAACTGTTGTAGATGACTTCACAAGACACACTTGAACCTTTCTAATGAAATCAAAATCTGAGGCTAGGCCTTTGATTGTTCAATTCATTACTTTGACTCATACTCGATTTGGCAAGATTGGTAAACAAGTCAGATCAGACAATGGCAAAGTTTTTGATGCATAATTATTTCAACCACAAAGGCATCATACATCAGAAAACTTCCATAGAGACACCTCAACAAAATGCTATAGCAAAAAGGAAGCATAGACATATCCTGAATGTTGCCAGAGCAATCATGTTTCAGTCCAACCTACCAAAGCCATTTTGGAATTTTGCAATCAATCATGCAATCATGCAGTGTTTCTCGTCAATAGGTTGTCTTCTTTTGTCATTAGTTCCAAATCTCCTTATGAGCTTCTTCATGGCACTTCCTAAGTATGACAATCTCAAGGTCTTTGGATGTCTTGTGTTTGCTTCTTCAACTATAATCTAAGGCCGCCAAAAAACTTGATCCACGTGCTTCTAAGTGCATTTTCCTTGGTTACTGTTTACATGTGTAAATATATATATATATATATATATATATATATATATATATATATATATATATATATATATATATATATATATATATATATATATATATATATATATAGTGTTGAGAATATTTGTATATAGAATAGTCTCACATCGACTATATCATGTAATTACTTGTATTCTATTTATATATAATAATGTCTCCGTAGTGCTTTTCAAAACACACGGTTTATTCAAATGTCTCTTAGTCTCTTGTATTTCAACATGGTATCAGAGCCTGGTTTAAGATCCGGTGGGCCACCTTCTATGGTTTCCGCTATCGGGCCACCCACCATTTATTTCCACGCTTCAGTTGTCCAATCCTGAGCGTGAGGGGGTGTGTTAAGAGTCCCACATCGGACAATATATGGAATGAACATGTGTTTATAAGTGGGGGCAATCCTCACTCTACCAACCGGTTTTGTAGGGCTGAGTTAGGCCCAACCACGTTTCTTAACAGTTACAAACAAGGGATAAAGGGCTACATTGTTATGAACTTAACTTGCAGAGAAATCTCCATAACCAGAAATGTCTCATTTTATGAACATTTTTTCTCTTCAATCTACCTTCCACCAATGACTCGTCAAACACTTAAAAAATCTTAGACTATGACCTACCTTTCTTAGACACACCTGCAGATCATTTGACTCCTTATACACCTAACACTCAAAATCATCCTCCACAAACATTTCAACCTTCCAATACACCAATGTAATCTACCATTCTACCTTCACCTACTCAGCCCATTCACCAAGACATAACTACCAACATTCCATCAACTAACATCCAACATTCACCTCCTGTTCCCACACCACCAATCATTTCAAAAATCTCCAATAGAGTATCCACAAACCAGAAAGATTTGATGATTTTGTGTCACAACCTCACTTCATCTCAGCACCCTCCTCCACACAATCATGTACCCTATTCAACCTTACATCATCAATCATCACCTTTCTCCTGTCTCCACATTACATCCTTTCCATCACCTTTCAAGCTGAACCGGCCTCCTTCAAGCAGACCTCTCAACATGAGTGTAGGAATCAGGCTATGCTCACTGAATTACAGGCCCTCCAACATAACAACACTTGAATCATAACCTCATTGCCTCCAAACAAGAAGCCCATAGGATGTAAATGTGTGTACAAAATCAAAATGCATGTTGATGGTTCCATAAAGAGATACAAAGCTCGACCGGAAGCAAAAAGTTACACATAAACTGAAAGAATGGATTACATAGATACTTTTTCACCAGTTGCTAAGATGACAATTGTCAGACTTCCTTTAACCATTGTTGCCTCTTAGAATTGGCACATGATTCAACTAGTGTTAACATCGCATTCCTCCATGGAGACATTGATGAAGAAGTTTACATGACACCACATCTAGGTTTAATTCCATCAAATCTCAATCATGTTTGCAAGCTTCAAAAACAGACCAGCAGACAATGGGTCTCAAAGCTTTCTTCATTGCTCATTTCCTTGCATTACAAGAAATCAGCCTCAAACCATTCTCTCTTCACCAAATTACATGGCTGCAAGTTCATTGTCCTTCTCATTTATGTTAATGACTTGATAATTTCAGGAATGGAAATGGCATTGGTGGAAACCTCAAAACTTTCCTAGACACCAATTTCAAAATAAAGAATCTTGACAACCTGCAATTTTTTCTAGGTCTTGAGGTAATGCATTCTCTTCTAGGCATCTCCATCTGTAAATGAAAATATGCGCTCGAATTGCTCCATGACATGAGTCTCCTTGCTAAAACCATTTTCCCACTCCTATGATAAAATCACACGAGTATACAGTTATTGATGATTCACCTCCAATTGATGCTATTGCTCAACGAAGACTGATTGGTCGTTTAATCTACCTATGTACCACAAGATCTGACATGAGCTTCTCGGTTCAACAACTCAGTCAATTCATATCATCTCCCACGTTACTTCATCTACATGCTGCCTACAGAGTTCTTAAATACATCAAGTAATCTCCTTCACAAGGCTTGTTTTTCCTTCAACCACCACACTTCAACTCAAAGCTTTCACCGACTCAAATTGGTCATCATGCAGTGACACAAGACGCTCCATCACAGGGTACTGCATTTTTTAGGTGATTCGCTCGTCTCATAGAAATCTAAGAAGCAGCTAACGGTTTCTAGATCATCATCAGAAGCTGGGTATCAGGCTCTTGCATCAACAATCTGTGAATTACAATGGTTAACATATTTCTAACGTGACTTCAATGTCAACTTCATCTCACTTGCAGTTATGTATTGTGATAATCAATCGGCACGTCACATTACAGCCAATGATACCTCTCATGAAAGGACAAAACATATCGAAAATGATTGTCATGTCGTACGAGAAAAAGTCAATGCAAAACTCTTCCAACTACTACCTATCCTAAGCTCTGCACAACTTACAGACATTTTGACCAAGTCTCTTGATCCTCATCCTTTTCAAGCTCGGAATCTCGGTTAAAGATAGATAAAATATGAGTAGGTAAGGCCTAAAGGAGTACATTAGGTTCAATAGTAGACTAAAGAGGTGAAATATGGCCCCTCGCCAAAGAAGGAAGGATCTAAAGAAGTATATTGATGATTAGTAACAAACAAATGACAATTATATCCTATTGCATCCTAGAACCCGCAAACTATACCGACCAAGAAACAAAACATGCACAACCAAACACGAGTTAAAATAGGTATACAACCGATCAAAAAGCAAGATGTCTACATAACACCATTTTGTATAAACCAAAAGTTCGAGCAGTCACAAATATGGCAATTTTATCTTTCAACTACCCTATTTTGTTAAGATGCGTGAAAGCATGTGAATTTATATATGTTGTCAAAAGAAGACATAAATGATTAAAATTCATAGGAGGAAATATCAATTTGCATTGTCACTCCTTAAAATCCTATTTGATTTGCGAAATGAATTTTGAATTTCAGCATAGAAACCATACAAGAAATCAAGAATTATTAGTATCACCACATGGAAAGAAGCCTGCTTGGATATCACTCAATAGATGCATGGGACAACGCCTGGGCCTGGCCACATGCCGTTTACTACATGTAGCTCCTTGCACAATCATAAGTTTTTATAAGTTTTTAGGTGGTTATGAAAAGTTGTTCTTTTGGTTATTCTTAGAAAGTCTTGAACTAGTCCTCAATTGGTAGAAGAAAAGATAGCTTTTGAATAATTAAATTTAGTGACTAGAGATAGCTCTAGTGTGAGAGGAGAGTGCTTCTTTGGGATAGCCTTGAGTTTAAGGTTGACTTCATCATGTAAATCTTTTCTATCTTTTCTTTCAATTCTATTATCACATTCTATTGATAGTAACAAAAAGATATTCAAAGAATTCTTCTTTTCTCAATTTGTCGATCAATCTTATTCTAGTTAGAACCATTCTCTTGTTTATTCATTTCTACCCAGTTTTGGGAGTTATTTCCATATATCAAAACAAGGTTCCTAACACCACCAAACCCCAAAGAGGTTAAAAGAATTAGGTGGTCGGAACAAGACCAATAGTGTGACGAACAAAAAGCCCAGATTGAAATTATGAGGGCATGTGGCAGAGAGTGACTGATTCTGGCGACAGTTCATCTAAGGCTACTACATCAACAGTTTCTAGCTAGGAGTGTTCCAACAGTTTTTTGATCAGAGAGGATTGGTTGGAAGACCTAACTTGACTGCAGCCACAAGAAACATAATTTTTTAGTTTCTTACTATATTGCTTGAACCAGACCCGGGTGAATGGCTTTAGTGCCATTTTAGATGGCAAATATTTATTGAGTTGCTTGAGGAGTCCCTCAGCACATACAAGATTTACAGCATAATACTAGAAACTACATAAGTACAGAAACTAAGGAAACTAATTATATGACAGCAATTAAGATTAAATAGATATGCCGCTAAATAGATTATACTATCCCTAAATAGGAGATACTTCCTAACAATAGTTATATTTTCGTTTCCATTTTGGCATAACTTTTCTGCAGGAACCCATCAAGAATTAAAATTAAAGCATATAAATAAACCCAGATAATTAGATATTCATTAAGGAAATTTGTCACTGTAACCAAAAAAATCATGATAAATTAACATAAAAGATATATAACAAAACGAATATTTCTGATGGAAATTAAATATTTTTCAAACCTAATGCAGGCATGGCATACCTTGGCTCTAGAAGCATCTCATCAACCTCCTTATGTGATTCCTCGATCTACTATCCAAACAATTAATAAACAAGACCATGTAAACTGTCATTGAAGGATGTAAAAATCATCCATGGGATTGTCAAAATAATCTAAGATTTCAATTTCTGAACCTCTTTAACTGCAATGCCGTGTATTTATAAATTATGTGAACTCTTAAAATTAATACTCCGCTAAAAGAATTGAGATTTAAATGTGCAACAAAAACAATTAAAGACATGCATTTTATGAGAAGAAAACATTCAAAAACGTCATATGAAAGTCTTACCTCATTTACCAATGTCTGGCAACTCCAAACAAAGGCTCCCTGAAAGCACGCAGAGTTTAAATCTTTTTGTACATATAAACAGAGCATGACACAAATACAGTTACGAGATAACCAGGTGGTATGCACCAGCATTTTAAAAAATAAGGGAAATCATACTAAAATCATAGTATATTTTTATTTCCTTAGTTTGCATAGATTAACAGGGAGAGAACAGTACTCATAATTGGAAAAGAATTATAAAGACAGTTGACAATCAAGTTGCTTCAATTTTACTCAAGTTTTCAATTTATGAAAATATGCATACTGCTAAATATGTTGATTGCCGTTCATCGCGGTCAGAAGTGACAACCCAGACATTGGAGCAACCGTCCTCCTTTAAAGCTGAAACCTAAATTGAGTAAAGAATACAACTCGTAAGTTCCATTCAAAGGATACAAATACAATCATATTAAATATGTACAGTATTCATAAAAAAAGAAAAACACTTCCCAGTTGATAGTTTAAATTTTGATGCGAGAAGATTCACTTGATGAAAGAAAAAATGAAGCTCTATTATAAATGAAAATAGTGTTTGCAAGTGTTGTAAAGCCCAGAGTACCAAGTTCAATTCCTACTCATGAAAAATTAGACCTGTTATAATTTACTTCCGCAAATGACCACTGATTTTCTAATTAAAAACATTAATAGTTATATGCATCACATCATTGCATTTCAATTTTCAAGGTCACATGTGCATAAAATAATCTCATTTTACATTATGGGACTATAGATGCTAATCCATTAATATCTTAGAAGAATTTAACATGTAAAAGCAATAGCAGCAGAAGATGCTAGAATGTTGAAAACAGGGTCAAAAGCTGTGTTGCATGGATACAGGTACAAATATCAGTATTGGTATGCACAGGGTTACAGGGATTAGTCACAAATTATGAAGGAAATAAAGTGTCGATTTATCAACAAAACTTGGAGTTATGTAAAGATTGACTTGAATATTGAAAATAACTAATGGGTGAGCATTGTGAACATAACCATGTGCATACGATATTCTGTCCAAAAAAAACTTGGAGTTATGTAAAGATTAACTTGAACACTGAGTAATAACTAATGAGTGAATATTGTGTACATAACCATGTGTACACAATAGTGTCAAAAAAAAACGTGTACACGAGAAGTACCGATAGTGTGTGTTGTGCATACCTAATATGGGAATACAGTATATATTTAAGGAGAACCCATGCATTGTAGATCAAAATCAAAACTACAATAATCACCTATCTAGAGGTCAAAGAGATAGTAAAATTCATATTCCAGACATCTTCTACAAAAGAAGGAAAGTGTCTATAAAATCATGATTCATGATACTTGACCAGAGCAAAATTGCAGATAGGAATTCCATTGACTTGTAGTAGTTATATCTAACCTCTCTTTCAATCCATGTATCAGCAGATACATTACTTGAGAAAACAATGTCGATACTGCAAAATGGCCAAATTATAATCTATAAGATTGTAACTTAGAAGAATGTAAAAATTAAAATGATGTTATAACTATCATAGTCAAACAAAATGATTACATTGCTGTAGGATGATAAATGAAAAAGTATCACGGTAACTAAAAGTAAGGGTGGAAAGACTACCTAGCAGATCTTTCCTTGTGAGTGGGGAACCCAGACATCATGGAATCAAATACAACAACCACTTTGAACTCTGTACAAGCAAATAACATTGAAAACATTAATGAAAAGCGATAATAGTAGAAAGCATAAAAAAGAGTACTAGTAAAGGTGGAGGCAGAAACCTCTGACCATAGAAAAGGTTCTAAGCTCATCAATCAAAAATTGGCGAGCAAGCTCAAGTCTGCCACTCATAAAATATTTCTTGAGCTTCATCCAATATCCACAGACATTATAGCCATCAACAAGCATCACAGGAACAGAATCATCTATTGTAATCAACTCCTTTGTGCTGCGGTGCACAATAGCAATTTAGCAAAAAAGGTTGTGAAAGAAAATGGCTTGTTTATTATGGTTACTATTTATTTATAAGTTACAATTCGTTGAAATAGTCTTACTTGAGTTTATCTACGTTCGTAAGCACCTCTAATACAGCTTGAGAAAACTTATAAAAACAACTTATGACATATTCATGCATTTTTTCAGCTTTTTTTTCATAAGCTCTCGAAGTAACTTACGAAAACACATTATAGTTTACACATGTACAATTTTATGTTATAAACTGTAAATTAAGTTGTTAATTCAAACACGGTCTTACTCGTCCTCGTCTATGGAGGAGGTAGAATCAGAGTCACCATTGCGAATTTTCTGCTTTTCCGCCTTCTTTTTCCGGTAACTGGTGGAAGGTTTTGGAGTGATAGATTTTCGTTTTTCGTACTCCTAAATAATACAGATAGAAATAAGTAAATTGAATAATTATACCGAAAATTGTAATGAGGTGGATAGGTACCTTCAATGTCTTGAGGATTCGAAGGTTTTGCTTGGCGTTTGAAGTGATTCTGGGTGGACTTGGTTGAGATTTGGAACCCTAATTCATGAGTAGTGAAGAAAGCATATGAGAAAATAACGAAGTGTTGCAAATCGAAAATTAGAAACAAGAATTAAGGGGGAAAAGGAACCTTAGCGTCGTTGTGACGGTGCTTTTTGCTTTTGGAGGCTACAATGAAATTGTGCTTGAGTCTGTGAACGGAGGAAGAAGAAGAAGAAGAAGCATTGTAATTGGAATCACGGAGTGTAAAGGAATGGAATGAAATTGCTAATGGAAGTAATTTCAATTTCATAGCTGAATATTTTTGCTGTTACTTGTTCATATTTTTCCCCCTTTCTTCTAGCCGTTTTGTTAACGAGCTACTCCTCCCATCTATCGATATGAATGAATGAATGGCTCTCTTCCTCGTCCTACCAAACTAAATAAAAATAATATTTATTATTATTATTATTATATTATATTATTTTTTGTGGTTCTGACATTGGGAAGTGTTCAATTATAAAGGGTTTGGGACTTGGGAGTTTGAGTTAGGTCCTCTGCGTTTCTCAAAAAAATGGAAAACACAACTATTAAAATTTTAAATAATATAAATACATATATTTTTGGAATGAGTGATGTTTATTTATTTGATTTGAATTGTATATACTTAAAATATTAGCAATGAAATTTTCCAATTTTTTTTAGAAATTGAGATCATTTTTATCCCGGAAATTTGATGGTCTTACCAATTTGAATTTCATTTTTTTTTATTTGCGGTCCAAATTTTATTTGAATGGGAAAGAGGAAATTTTAATCTCATACTCCACTATACCATTATTTCTCCGCTCCAACCATTTATATAATTTGATCAAAACATTTATATATGAATTGTATATGCTTCAAAAAAAAATTCATTTTAATTTCAAGTTTTCTAGTCCATTGAGAAAAATGTGTACCGGAAGTTTTACTCCAAAGTTATATAATCTACAACATCACATCGTAAGTCTATATCCAAAGTCTTTAGATACATAAAACTACACCGAAAATCTTTATCCTAAGTTCTAATACACAAATCCATCTCAAATGTTTTTTCTCAAGTCTTTCGGTTCACATATCAACATCACAACAGTTCACAAACTTAACATAACAAACGACTTTGAGTAAATTCTCTGAACCCTTTTTTGTTCATCAGATGTCTTTTGTAAAAATCTTTCGATTTTGACTTTTTCTTTTGCAAAGTTTATAAAAAAAATGGTTTTTAGATCAATGGTGAGGTGTGGAGGAAATGATGGTAGAATCATTCTTCGTCGAGGCGTCGGACGAGGAGCGCTACCTACTGTCGCTACTGCGAAAAAGAGGGTTGGCAAGGACAGAAGAGTCGCCACAGTTTGTTATTTATCCCAAAGAGAGGGAAAGGAAACGATCAGAGAAAACCTACGAAAATGGGAGAAGACAGGTCATCGCAACCAAATCTTGGGTTCGGGAGTCGGTTACGCAAGGGGAAGGTATTAGCACCCCTCACGTCCGTCGTACTCGACGGGATCCACGCGTGTTATCTATCTAAAGGACGTTTATCTATCTAACTACAAGCCACAGGGACAAAAGAAAAGAAAAGAGAGACTCGATAGAGCATCGCCGCTCTATGCCTACGTATTCCCTCGTGCAATGGGAAAGTCAGAGTCAACATAGTTGAGAAAACTACGGGTGAAAGTGGGAAAAGGTTGCTCGCCAAAACATCGTTGTCTTGTGCCTACGTATCCTCGTCCGGTACGAAAAATCAGAGCAAACGTAGTTCGGGATAACAAGACCACAGGTTGGTTCAAATGGTTTACCCGAGTAGGGTTAAACCTTAGTTCTAGCAATTAGGTGTATGCAGCTCGACCATTGGAGAATTAGGCGTTACATGTTTGCGGTAGAACCAAGAGTTAACAAAACTCTCCTTATGAAAAAGGTTTTCCAAATTAAGATCCCGAAGGATAAAAAGTTTGATGTTTGTTTTGAGTCTTTTATGAAGAAGAAATGAATTGAGTTTGATTTGTAACTCATGTTGCACTAGAGACTATGACTTAGGAACGAATGTGTCGCATATCGTCCAAAGGACATACGCTAAACACTTTAGACAATTGAGAGGAAGCCCCCCAATCATCATTTCCCAAATGCTTAAGGCTCGTAGCGTACAACATTCATTATCCTTTATTATATGTTTTGAAAGAGTTTTGAGATGAGAAGAGAAATGACACTCTAAAGGGAGACTAAACTCAAACCTAAAGTTGTCATGCAAAGTGAACCTATGATTAGGATAAAAGGGAAGCTACCTAATGTTATCATGCATGGGTTCAAGCCTAAGTTCTATCATAATCAATCTTGAAAAAGAGAGATTAGAGGTCCTAAGAGAACATGGCAAAGAAGAAAGAAGAAGGAAGCAAAAGAAAGCATACAAACATGTAATGCACAAACAACATGAATATGAAGAGAGGGGGGAACAAAGTGTGGGGTAAACATCGCCACAAGCACATCTCAACATCAAGCATACAAATGGAAATGCAAATGATGCAAACAAAAGAAGAATGCACAAAGAAGGAACTAAACAAGCTCACACAAAATTGGGATGAAATGGAAGAATAAATCCTACAACCACTCAAACATCAACCACAAGCCCAAAAGCAAATAAAAAAGAAAGGAGAAGAAACCATGATTAAATGGGAGAATGGGAGGCAATGTGAGAACAGCAAGGAACTCAAATGAGCAACTCCACCATGAGCAACACCATAATCATGCAAGAAACACACAAATGTCCTAAAAAAGAATCACCATTCATGATATGTCCAAGGTACCTCCAAAGGAGGGACCAAACCACCTTGAATGGGACTTAAGGGTCCTTGGACAGAGGTAAGAATGAGAGGAGAGAATGCACAAAGCAATAAGCACACACATCAAAAGGAATTGCAAGAATAGGCATGGAAGAAGACCTAGGTCTTAAACACTTTCAACATTTGAACACAAATGGAAGACCTAAAAAAAATGCAACTCAAACACAAAACCACACAGGTATATGACCTATAAATTGACAACCAACAAGCTTAACATGTTGACAATACGAATCATGAGGAGTTGAGAGCTTAAGGGATCCACAAGTGTCATTTCCCATCAAAACTAGGTAAAGTGCTTGTATGAACCACCCTTAGAAGTAACTTGACTTGCAAGTTACCTCAAAAATATGAAAAGGCTCAAATAAACCCAAATAAAATCTCAAAAGCTCATAAAAGAGTTGGCAACCAGAGGCTAAAAGATTACAACCAATGTTTATTCAAAACATCACCAAAGAATTTGATTCACAAGGGTGCACCATTTTGAAGAAGGGTTGTCGAGGGTCAAAAGAAAGGACTCAAAAGTCAACCAAAAATGAACCAAAGCAGGGCCAAAATCATCCTATAAGACTCCTCAACTCATCACTCAAATGAGAAAAAAGTCTCAATCCTTAGAGATGTCAATTAGTCAAGAAGCAAGCATGAACACAAAAGGAGCAATTAAAAGATTATTTAAAAACATCTCCAATCATTAATTCTCATTTTAATTGAAAAATGAAAATAAAAATTATCAAAAATTAAATGACACATTAAAGTATCAGAGAATATTTGTTTGGGGAATTGATCATGCTTGGAGGTATTTTTAAAAATCAAAAATGAAAACAAAAATGAAAATAAAAAGAAAATAAAAGAAATAAACGCACAGTGCAAATAGCAAGGATGCTAGTTCAACTCAGTGGGCTGGATCAAGGAGGGGGTGCAAATAGCACGCTGAGCCTAAAACAATTCAAATTAGATCAATTAGTGAAACGCAACGTTTCACTAATTGACGTGGCCTGGTCAACAGACACGCAAGCAAGTCAGCTTCATCCCAGCCGCTCATCACAACAAGTCAAAAGGTCAAACAATTACATGCAAGCATGCCTGAAAATGAACCAGGCGCCGGAGCCCTAGCTTCGGTCGTCTTCTCCGGCGAGGTGGCCAGAGATCAGGTTCCAAACTTCACAAAAAATCATGAAATCTTATATCAAATTAAACGCCAAGTCATGTAGAATCCAAATTCGGTCTCTATTTTCATTTATCATGCATATCAAGAGAGATTCGAACATGGAAAGTTTTGAACACACAATTGTAAAATGCATCAAACATAGCAATTAACCATCCAGAATTTTCCTACCAGTTGAAGGACTTCAGATGCAGCAAGAATGATCCTAAATCAATGTTTATCATGTGAGAAATTTAGATATGAAAGTTACCTGACGGAGTCTCTCCGTTAGAGCTTCAAATGATGATTAGCTTGCTCAAGAACATGCAGATCCACTCACTGATGCTCAAGGAAGATGATGCTTGCTTTGATTTGGGTTGAAATGGATTCAATCTCAGTTCACAATTTTCAAATTTGATCTTGAATTTCAAACTTGGCACTGCTCTTCCCTCCACCAAATTGCATGAATGAGCTCTCAAATTTCATTCTGAGCTTAAATATAATGGATATGTGAGTGATTGGAGGCCCAATATGGCTTGGTTCACTTGAATTTTGAAAATGCCCAAATTGGCATGTAACTTCATGCACACGTGAATTTGGCTCCAATTTCCCTTGAATTTCATTTGAATTATCAATTGGGGATGTGAATGTTTCATGTAGATTGATTTTGGGCCTTAAATTAATTTAATTACGGAGTTTTGAATGCAAACTTCTTCTTGAATCAACCTTCATTTTCACGTGATTTTGCTAGCATGAGCCAAAATTGCTTTGTGCATTTTGCTTGTTGGACAATTGTGAACCAAAATGAATATAAACATGGCATTTAAATGACCTATAACCATTTCAATTGAATTCATGACTTAAATGTCCATTTTCACTTGATTTTCTTCACCAATATCCCTATCCAAGCATAATTCATGACATCTTGTGTTCTATAATGAAATTAAGGTCACTTGGAGCAACTTTCATGTTGGAAAAAGTTTCATTTGAAGTGCTTAAGATCATGAACATGACCTATAATGGAAATGACCTATAATCTCACTTTCCCAAAATACCCCTGCCTTACAAGATTCATAACTTGAATTCTACAAATTATATGAAGGACTTCTAGGACTTTTTGGAAAGCTAAGATCATGAGGAATAACTCTCATGTTCACTTCAAGTTGAGGAGAAACTTGATTCTAGGTCAAAAGTGCCTTGGAAGTTGGTTGACTTTTGTTGACCAAAAATATGTTCATCTGAGACTTCTAATTTGCCAGCATCATAACTTGAGTTCCACAAACCCAATGGATGAGTTCTAGT